TAGGTAGCTACCTACAAAATCAAATCAATGCCTCAATTGTTCATTGTTTTATTACAATAAGTCCCTCCTCTGCCAATCACACTAAACTATCTACTGTCACAATGCAGTGTGCGTCATGATTTCTCAACTCTATGCATACAATATATTTCCATTTGTCAATCACATATTGTTTTTTTTTTTTACAGGCTTTCCGGTTATGACTGAGGCCAGCATCTCACGTGTCCTGGCTACGCCAAATCACTGCGGATGCCTGATGCCGAGGACCGGAGAGCCAACCGCTTTGAGGGGTGAGCTCTGTGGCGTGGCTCGAGTGATCACCAGGTTCTGACGGCTACGGCGCCGTCGACCTGGTTGAATAGCTGGGGCCTGGACGAGAGTGCCCTTAGTACGGTGGTCAATCGGTTACGTCCGAGGGGCGCTCGAACACGCTGCCGTCGCGTGGCTGCCGGCGGCCGCCCCCTCGCACGTGAATCTCCTGGAGCGAGGACTGCGGGAGGCGGCCGCATCATCACCTGTATCCGCGCTCAACACCGTGCCACGCACTAATGGCGGAAGCCCGACTTTCTCCGATGGAGGAGAGAAGCTGGACGCTGGCTGCCAGGCTGCTGGGGAGGGCGCTGGGTCTGCCATCAGGGGACCCCCTGCACGCGACCGCCGAGGCCTCGGCACCGGCGCGCCTGCCTTCGGTCCGAGGCTGGAGATTGCGAGGCCGCCAGGCCTGGGCGAGAGCGAGAATCCCACCGTGGCAACAGACGGCTGGCGTCACCTTCCGGTTGGACGTGTGCCCGATCCGGGCTGGGGCCACGGCGGCGGAAAGGGAAAGCGTGGCTACGCTGCACCTCGCGTTCCTGCCCCTGTGTGCTGTCCGGCTTTGGACGGACGGATCTGTGGAGGGCGGAGTCTTCAGGCGCTGGGCGGGAGCAGTGCTGGTCTGGCTGGACGAAGAGGTCGAGGAACTGCGGGCCCCGGCCGGAGAGTTGTGCTATAGCTACCGCGCGGAGATGGTGGCGCCGGTGACCGGTCCGGAGACCGTACTCGGAAGAGACAGAGACCAGGACCTGCGGTCTCCGGTCCGTACCTATCTGCTAACTGTGCGGTAGTGCTGGTGTAGTGCAACAGTTTTGGATGGCTAGCTACATTTCACGATTAAATAGCTGGTACGTTTCAGTGCAGGTGGCGTGACGAACAATGTGTCTGTTGGCCACTTCTGCGGAAGCTGCCATTTCCTACTCGAAGGCGGGCACGCTGTTTGGCTGGGCCGGCAGGATGTTCCCACTTCCCATTATGTGTCGACGGCAAAGCGAGTATATTCATGTTCTTTTAATGCACAGAAGTCTGTTGTATATTTGAAGCTTTATTTTAGTTTGACGATTGCGAAGGGCAGATTCATCTTTTCTCTTTCATTTGTGTTGCCACTTTAGCGTTCATGTTTGTCATAAGTGTCCTGGTCCGGCTTGGTTGTCATCTTTATTCGTGATGTATTTTATTTTACGAACATGCTGGTGATCAATGCAATACACTTTTGATTAATAATGCTGCTTTAGCTCTGATCCTTTGTGGTATGTCTTGATTGTACTACTGCGATAGTGATTTTTCCTCACCAAAATATGCAGGCAACAAATGTAAATGCTGCCAAAAGTTTGTCATTGCGTGATGTATCTAAAAGACATCAAGTTTCTGAACGTGGTCGTGTACTACGCAACCGGAAACTCAATAGGACGTGGAATGTTGTGAAGCAAAACTACAGAAGTGAGGCTGGCCACGCCAAAATCAAGTGAGATATGTCTAGCCTTTCTTCAGCCGCCAAGGCTTCGACAGACTATCCGCGGGTTCGGTGTCTCTCGAACTACGAAGATTCAACGTCGTCCGGCCAATCCTGGTTAAGGTCAGCGGGGACTTAGCTGTGGTTATGGAACAGGATTGGCCGTCCGAGAGACTCAGAACCTGGGGTATGTTGCAGCACAGCTATGTCGACCGAGTGTCGTCGCAAGCTACCCCTTTCGACGAGAAAAAGTAAAACCGTCCCGTCCTAGGCTGACTAGGCTTAGCTAGGTGGCAGCACAGTCGCGCCGGCAGGGGGCAGTGCCACAACCAGCCGACTGATATTTTCGTGTGACGTCAGAACCGGTGCCTCCCTGGGAGCAATGTCCCGATATCCACCCCTTGGGCCTTGGATCAACCAGTGCTGCGAAGCGTGACCTATCCGTTTCCGGTTTCTTTTCTGCAGTGTTGGAAGCCTCAAGGCCGTGTAAGAGGGTAGCCTCGCCGCTACTGCCATCTGGCGACCGTTTTTGTTTACGATTACCTACCGATCCGAATATCACATCAATTTGACGGATGTTAATAACCTATCCTTGAATGAAAACATTCAGATGTTTGAGGTTTGAGTGTTTTGTTTTGGCTTCTCAGTCGGTTATTGTCGATGTGGATTTAGAAACGAAGAAGTTGGACGCTAGGGCCTGACGGTTTATATAGCCTTGGGCCTGACTATGTTTTAGGGGTCGGAAACACGGAGGTCCCCAAGCGTTTTCGTTTTAATTATATGAATCCAATTAGTATCACAACATGCTATAATCCAACTATCTAACATTCCCTGCCAGTAAAATGCAACAGCTTACCATTTAAAGCTGGCAAAATTGACTCCAAAACACCACATGCCTCACCCCTCGCAACCGACGCTGACGCCATGCTGGTTACGGCGGATGAACACAATTTATGTCAATCACCTGATGTATGCTGATGATGTGGTGCTTATCTCTCCATCAAGTGCAGGGATGCAAAAACTGTTGAATGTGTGCCATGAATTTGGTATGGCAAATGATGTTGTGTATAATAGTTCAAAAAGTGTTGCAATGTCATGTAGATCGAAGGGGATGAGGAATGTCAAAATACCTGATTTTATGTTAGGACCCATGCCGTTAGTATGTGTTGATAAAGTTAAATATCTTGGGCATATCATAGAGGAAGACATGACTGATGATCTAGATATTGCCAATCAGAACAAAGGTTTATTTGTCAGAGGGAATATGATCATAAGGATGTTTCACATGTGTACTGTAGATGTCAAACTGAAACTATTTGAGACTTACTGTTCATCGATGTACTGTGCACACCTGTGGTGGAACTATAGGAAGGCAACTATGAATCGACTCATTGTGAGCTATCACAACCTTCTTAAACGACTTATCGGGTTATCGAAATTTGAGAGTACGAGTATGACATGTGCATATTTTAGAGTGCTGAATTGTGAAAGCGTGTTCAGGAAACTTATTTATAAGTTTCTGAGAAGACTTGAACAAAGCCCCAATAGCATCATTGAAGCAATCAATTCAGGGGATCTCCGTTTCAGATCAAAACTGAGACGCTTTTGGCTCAGTAAGCTCTATTGTCATGCTGTGCTACATTGAATGTGCATCGACTGGGAGTGTGCCTTAATCGATGTTTGTTGTTCATCCATCATCCATCTGGTACATCCATCATCAACTCATAGCAATGGACTGTTAGTCTGAAATACAAATCTATCTATCTATCTATCTATCTATCTATCTATCTATAAACAATCAAGGCTGCAAAAATATCCTGATGCGTTTCGCGTGCACAATTTTTTATCGCAGCCAGAAATGACAAACAATACCAAGGTTCTCAAATTGTTATGTCTAAAGCGCGGACAACTTTAAATTTGAGAAAAGCGATTATTACTCGATGAAATTCAAAGAGGTGTCCTAACCTAACCTAACCTAACCTAACCTAACCTAACCTACTGATTTTTGCCTACCGAGCTTAAAGAAGCCTAACCTAACCTACTGATTTTGCCTACCAGGCATAAAGAAACCTAACCTAACCTAACCTAACCTAACCTACTGATTCTTGCTTACCGGGAATCCTAACCTAACCTAACCTACTGATTTTTGCCTACCAGGCATTAAGGAACCTAACCTAACCTAACCTAACCTAACCTACTGATTTTTGCCTACCGGGAATCCTAACCTAACCTAACCTACTGATTTTGCCTACCAGGCATTAAGGAACCTAACCTAACCTAACCTAACCTAACCTACTGATTTTTGCCTACCGGGAATCCTAACCTAATCTAACCTAACCTAACCTAACCTACTGATTTTTGCCTACCGGATAAGGAAATAGTTACTTGCAGGAATAGATTGCAGGCAATAGTAAATCAAATATTTTCAGGTTAAGTGGTCATGCATCAGGCCCGAAGCCAGATACATAACCATTTAACCTAAAAATATTTGATTTACTATTGCCTGTAATCTCTCCTAAGGCATTGCCTTCGGCACTGCACTGCTTCGCCACGAGTTGGCCACCGACGAAAACATGCACAGTACAGGCGAAGAAATATTGGACGAAGAATGAAAATATGTACAGACAAAAAAATGCACGGACCAAAAAACGAAAATAAAGAAAATGCACGAACGAAAATATTTACGAACGAAACATTTCTGAAGACTTTTTCAGAAAAGTCGCTATCATTCGTCGACAGATCTGGCGCATCTCGTGAGGCGCTTTACCGAAAAAGAAAATTACCGAATTCTCTTCTATTAAAAATTAAAAATACAGAACCGTAATGTAATTCCAAAATTATTTGTGTATATCTATCACTTTTTCATAAAAATAGTACCCCCCCCTCCACCCAAAACCCCGGTTTCCCACAGTTCCCCTAGTGTGTTGGGTTTTATGAAGATACTACATTTCTGCGTAATGGTATTTAACAACAATTGACATGTTGACAACAGACCGTCGTGCGGCTCCACCGAGATCGTGGTAAGAATACGATTAGTTAGCTTTTGGTCTTAAAATTATCGATCAGATAACTGGAAACCACATTATTCTTACTAAACATGAGTTTCTCTATAGAATGATGTCTATATTATAGGGATTAACTAATTTTTGAAGCGGGGACCTCCATGTGTACCGCCGTTTCAGGGCCTTGGGCCTGACGGCTGCGCGCCCTAACCCACAAAGAAGAAGAAGAAGATGTGGATTTGAAATTTGGATTGCAATGGCTCACAGTTCAAGTTTGAGTGGCTCGGATGGCTCTGGCTTATGTTGATGTGGTCAACGAAGTTTTTGCAGTAACGGTGGCGTTTTTGCAAGCCATTAAGCTGAAGCCGTTGTGGTTGGGTGATTGTTCAGCAAGCAAATGAAATCATCCAAGAATCACTAATCAGTTAAGCTCAAGCTCTCCTTTGCCACTAACCTAAGCCCCGTTTATAATTTCTCCAGTAGGACCAGTAGGAAAGACACTAGTGGTGCTGTTTTTCCTTTGATATTTGCAACAAAAAAAAAATGTTGAGTTCATTTGGTTAATAGATGTGTATTCAAATGGCCACCACTCTTGCTGCTTGTTTAATTATGTGACGTCTAGGTATATTTCATGAGTTCCCATTATTCATTCAAGAGATAATGCATTTCTGTTTGTATTTGCTGTTTGGTTGGTAGTTTGTGTTGTTTTTTCTGATTTTCCACCATCATTTCTTGCTGTTTTCAGGCCAGGGTGTCCAGCAGTGGTGTAGCCGCAGGGTGGCCAGTCGGCAGGATGTCTCCTCCACCAGCTGGTCCTTGGGTGCCTCCACCAGCCAGAGCAACCCGTGCACCACTCACAGTGAACATGGTGAGCTATTTATAAGCAGCAGGTACCTTACCTACTGAACTTTTATTGGTGTGTCATATTATACATATGAGCAAAATGAGCAAGCTACTATTAACTTGTTTTATAATGTCCCTGACCTACTGCAGTGATCCAACACACTCCCCCTCCTCTGACTCGCTATCCATTATTGCAGCTGTCTCCGCTGAAGCTGCGTATCTCGGAGATGGAGGCGCTCGCCTCTCTGATGGCTGACTCGGGCCTGTCGGCCGCCGGAGACACCAGTCCAGAATCGCGGCGCAGCGGGGACGCTCCCGGCGCGCGGGTGCGTCACGCGCAGCCCCGACCTGTCCGAGGCCGGCGACGGACCAATAAGGTACGTCTGGACTGGAAGACACAAGGATGTCAGATGGGCGTAGGTAGTGGTTGAAGAATCCATCACGAAACGTCGACCTCTTTGATGGAAGTCACCAGTGGACTGCATGAGCTTGCTGGGTGTATAACAAGTGGCAATGACTGACACTGAACAGAGCTGTGCCGTGGATGTCCCTGATAGTCCTTTATGTGAACGTTTCTCCGTTGGCCGCCAGGCGAGTGGATCACAGCGGTCTCGTCGGGCGGGTTTGGCCGACGACTATGCCCCCGTCATTCGCCGGCCAGACCGCGACGTGGCGCCACCGTCGGCCGAGGCTGCGCAGGTGGCGCCACCGTCAGCCGCCCGCCGGCCCGTCCACGCCTGCTCGGGACAGAGTGCCAGCACCAGTGAGCGGCTGGAGCCGCCCCCGCCCCCGCCTCCGCCTCCACCCGAGCGGGACGCTGACCACGGGCCGACGGGTCTCCCTGGCACGTTCACCACAGACTCCCAGGTGGGCAATCGGGCACATTCCACTAGTATTGCTTTGTGATGAATAATAAGTGCCTCTTTCCAGTGTAGTCACAGTCGATCCTTTGGTACTCGAACATCAAGTGTAAGCTAGCTTACAATTAGATAACTCGTGACCGACACTCCAATTCTAGACTTAATGCTGCAATAAAGGAACGGGGTGGCAGCGCTTAGTTTCATTTACTGAACTTCTGAGTTCTGAGGCAGTATATTTATTGAGCGTTTCACGCAATTCCATTTTGTCTGGTTTCATCCCTAACACACACACACTGGCCTCCCCATCAGCTGTGTTTCATCCCTCGTTCCCTGACCACACTCACCTCCCCGCCAGCTGCCGCCGACGGAGCTGGTACCACCCCTCTCGGAGCTTCTCCCGGAGGCGGGCGCGTCGCTGCACGAGGTACTGGAGAAGTTCCTCTGGGCCAAACAGCAGGCGAGCGCGGCGGCCAACCTCATGTCCAGCCTACGCCAGGCTGTGGAGCGCATGGATCAGGTCAGTCTGCTGAGCGCTGAGAAGTGTGGGATAATGAGCTAGGGGTGCATACTGAATTCTGGGGTAAAGGCAACGACTTCGGGAGCGGATCGGAACCAGTGTAACTGGAGATGTTGGCGAGGCTGTTGGTGAGCCATTTCTATTGCGCTACAAATGGTAATAGCAGGTTCCACCCACGGTCAGGTCTCGGCCTGTCTGACCCGCACTCCCGTTTGTAATTGTATGACCCCCGTCGGGCGTCGGTCACAGTCTCCGTGCAGTAGCGCCACTACCCAGCACACTCCTGTGTTTTCTCCACAGGACTCGCCCCGGCAGACTTTGGCGGCGGTGGCGGCTCGATCAGCCCCGGGCCACGATCCCGCTCCCCCGGCTCCGACTACCAGCGAGCCCGCCTGTCGGCCTCTGCCGGAGACCGGCGTGGCCGCCCCCAGACCCACCGTGACGCAAACGGTGTCACAGACGGTGTCACAGGCCGTGACGCAGGCCGTGACACACAGCTCTCTGCTGGCCACCTCGTGCTCGCTGACGGGCGCGCCGTGGCCGGGGAGCGTCACGCCGCTCTCGGCCGGCTCTGAGGGCTCAGCCAGCTCGGCAGAGTCGGTCTCCGTGATGCCCGAGGAGTCGCGCTCGCAGCTGCTGCCGACGGCTACTGAGTCGCGCGACTCGCGCCGCGGCGCGGCCACAGGACAGGTGAGGGGTGGAATGGGGGGGGGGGTACGGGATTGGGCCGTTTAGCCAGTGGTGTTGGCCGTTTGCCCGGTTTGTTTACAGAGATGTAAAGTAAAGTGTAAACCCTTGTTATCCGCCGTTTTCGGTTCTTTATGCTTATGAATGTCATATGCTTATGCTCATGGTATTGAAAGCGCCTGTTATTTTTCAACATTGGAAGTTTTCCCGCTTTTGAGTACATAACAGGCTTGACCTCTTGTATTTTCTTTGAATTCGTTTAGTCTGTTAATTGTGCTGAGTGCGTGACGCCGCTCCCGCTGCGGACAGGGCTCGGAGCTGGACTGGCGCTCCGTCTCTGCCAGCGACACGGCGCCGGGCCGCGGGGGACCGCCGCCGGCCGCCGCCCCCGCCTCCCAGCTGCGACAAGTGGAGGCCCTGAGACGGCGCTACCAGCGCCAGCAGGACAAACTGCGCCGCCTCGAGCAGACCAACTACGTGAGTTACACGGGGAAGGGACAGACCAACTACGTGAGTTACACGGGGAAGGGACAGACCAACTACGTGAGTTACACGGGGAAGGGACAAACCAACTACGTGAGGTACGCGAGGGACTCGAACCGAGCAGCTACGTGAGTTGTGCAGGGGATGGAACAGACCAAATGCTCGAGTTGTACGGGACGCGTGTAGATCAACTACGTGAGTTATACGAGGACGCGTGTAGATCAACTACGTGAGTTATACGAGGACCCGTGTAGATCAACTACGTGAGTTATACGAGGACCCGTGTAGATCAACTACGTGAGTTATACGAGGACCCGTGTAGATCAACTGCGTGATTTACACGGAGACGGAAACGTACAAACTATGGTAAGTTTCACGGGGACTCGATTTAGACCAACTGCGTAAGCTATGCGAGGACTACATAGACGGACGAACCACGTCAGTGTTGGAATATTTAGGTAGAGCTGTGACTTAAGGATGCTGAGCTACGTTAGTGAATAATCATGAAGGAACAGGGTCTTGCTGTCACATCTTGCGTGGGCTTTGAGGCATGAAAGACCTACTGCGTAGTTTGAGGCCGGACGAACGGAACTTTAAGATACTCCAAGTAACTACCCTGATGATTTAAACAGAATTTAAAAACTGATGGAGCTAATTTTTGCTCCAAACGAACAAGCACAAACTTCAGTTCCTTCTTCAGTTCTACTGGGAAGGAGTACCAACAAAGTCTAGACAAGCGGCATGCTCTTGGTTATGGAAGATGGAAAAATTCTTAAGTGTTTGACATTTTAACGGATTTGAATATATTTCCATCATAAGAGCATAAAGAATGCTGCAACTTGCCTGAGTGTAATATTACCTCTAAAATATTCAATTATTCCCAGGCGAATAATTGACTACATAAACTATGCATTTGCGCGAGGATTCCTCGCGCTATTTCAGATTGGTATGATAAAGTTCGCCCATAAATCCCCTAATGCAACTCAACTAATTATTGCCCAACGCGTTCCTCCTCTGTCTTGTTAAAAACCGTTCTGTCAGTTTACTGTTCAGATTAATCAGCAAGCCTCACACACAGGCGCAGACACTCACACAAAGATATTTATAATGATTACCGTGTTGCAGGTTTTTAGGTGGATGCCCTGCTTGTGAATAAGAATAAAGTCAATTTTTTAAGAATTAAGTCAAAGAGCGAGCGAAGCGAGCGTATGTAGTCTTTCCCATATAACGGAAAAATCTCAGTATGAGCGGCCCGGCCCGGCCTGTAACGCTTTTGCGAGGCTTATATCTCAGCAACCACTTGACCGATTTACATGCGGTAATTTGTGTAGGGTAGCTTCATTCCTTCTACCAAGTATTGGACTACTTCCGATATATGTGGGTGACGCCTTATGCACGTGCCACGTGCAAAACGAAGAGGTGTCACTTGTCAGTTTTGTAACAATTGCAATATATCGGTAACTACTGGGCCGATTGTGCTGAAAGCTGGCATGTAGATTGTAGATAGGCACCCACTAGGCAATGCATATCCATGTGCCAGAGTTGGGGTGCTGCTGCACGTGTGCACATGCAGGGGTCGCTTCCAGATCTCGAGAATGGCTGAACCGATTGCGCTGAAATTTGGTACATGGCTAGGGACCGATTAGTACTGTGCCGTGTACTCGTATAAGTCAGTTAGGACCCATTTTGCACGTGCTCACGTGCAGGGTGCCGCTTCCAGATCGGCCAGAGAGCGGCTAGGCCGATTGCGCTCAAATTTGGCACATTGCTATAGACCGGTTAGAAGGGTGCCGTGCACAAGTCAGTTGGAAGTACCCCCTCACAATTTCGCACGTGCAGGGCTCACCCTCTCGCTCGCTCCGTTTGTCGCCCTATAAGGCGTTTTACTGGTATACTGACCATGCTGAGTGGACGCCCCGCCCCCCCGGTGTGTCTGACGCCCGCCTCCATCCCCTCAGGTACTGAATCTGGCTGTGGACGGCCAGGATAAGACGATCCGCACTCTGAGCACGCAGCTGGAGGACACCAAGGAGGCGCTGTTGCAGGAGATCAGCCAGCAGCCGACCCCGGCGCCGGCGGCCGGCCGCGGAGACGCCACGCAGACCGGACCCAGTCTGGTGACTCTCAGGGCGGCCCGCGAGGACGGCACCCAGACGGCTCCGGACGGTGGTGTGGAGGAGGGCGACCCGCCGCCGCCGCGGGTAGATTCGCCTGGTCCCCCGCCCGGTAGTGGTCAGGCGGAGAACAAGAAAACTACCTCAGTGGCCTGTGGTGACGGCGGTGGCTTGGAATCGGCGATAGCTATGGTAGACAGCCGGAGACCGACCCTGGTGGAGACGGCCACCAGCCCGGTATCGGAGCCGGACCCGGAGCCGCAGCCGGAGCGGCAGCCGGAGCCGGGGACAGGTCACATTCAGAGAGAGGCTTCTCGGACCCGGTCAGAGCGGGACGAAACTACGGACGAGAGGAGCGAGCGAGAGGTGCGGCGACTGCTGGCGGCGCTGGACGCCAAGGTACGGGTCGTCGTTCAATGGTCTGTAGAGCTTAAACCGTGGTCACTTGTTAACCGCGACTGCTGGCGGCGCTGGAAGCCAAGGTACGGGTCGCCGCTCACTGGTCTGTAGAGCTTAACCATATGTAGTCACTTACTGTAGACTCATGGGTAGACCTGCGTATTTTAACACATTTGTATGTGTAGTTTCGGCTGCACATCTATTTGGAATGGGCGGGCTTGTATCTGCGGTGATTACTATTCAACATCTCTCTGCTCGTTCTGAGTTATATTTATAGGTGGTCATAAAATAAATTATCGTCTCTAAGGAAGTGGATAGGCTTGTATTGCATGCACGCATCTTCACTGCACCCACCGCGTTTTTTCACGTAAAGCTAAGCCCCATGTCCATAATACATTGCCCCCCCCCCCCGCCGCTCACTGACTGCCGTTCACCGCGTCTGGTCGTCTGCAGGAACGCGAGCTGGCCTCGCTGAGGGCGGAGCGGCTCGGCGCCACCCCGGACCGGTACCTCCCCGACCAGGCCTTCATCTCAACACCGGTCTCTGGCGTCACACGAGCCGCTCAGCCTCAGGTGGGTGGCCGTCGGGACCGGCAGACGCCTGGCATCGGTCCCTGGAACGAATTTTAAAGTTTTGCCCTAGACTTTAAAGGGACTATCCCACCTTCAAAAAAAGTCCCATTTAGGATTCGGAAATGTTACTCATGATATTGTGACGAATTCTTCAAGTTTTTACGCGTTTTCATCGTATACTTTTTAAGATATTGCGACTTTTATATTTCATCGTGACGTCATTTAGATCGGATCTGTGACGTAATGAAGGATTAACTTCATGTCAGTGTGGGGGAAATTTGGCAGCAAATATAGGTATTTGCTCTCAAATATGACTCGGCTCATACAATAACAAAAGTGTCTCTGAATGGCTTATTCGTAAATCAAGTGATACTTCACTTGAACAGGCGTTCAAAAGGCAAATAACGTCATCAGATTACCGTTAATGGTTAAGAGATTGGGCCTTGCGCAAGGCCCATTTTCAAATGGGCCGGTCCGTGCCGGTCCCGTAGCTCAGTTGGTTAGAGCGTTGGACTCCGCGTGGTGAGAGCACGCGTTCCCGGTTATGACAGTCCGGGTTTGAAGCGCGACGGGCGCTCGACATTTATGGGCCTCCTGACAGGTATGGTTGCGGTTGGTGGCAGGCCGTAGCCAGGCGAAGTCAGCGAGGGGACCGGCCGTGCGCGGCTTTGTGCGCACGTTAAACTTTGGACTCTAAATTCTGCCATAGAACCGGAATTGCGCGATCGGAGGGTAGAGGGCAGGGTCACCGCAACAAGCTTCGCTTAGCGGTGGCTCTGTCCTTGTGAATCCTTCCCATCAAAAGGTTCGGACTAAATTTAAAAAAAAAAAATGAAGGGAACGAATTTCTTCAACACCACGAGGCCGCGGGGGTTGCAACCAAGATAGATAGTGGTTTCTGGACCTCGCCGCAAACTTGGCTATCTCAACTCAAACCTAATGTAAAGGTGGGATAGTCCCTTTAAGCAAATATTTTCAAGTAAAAAAAAAAATACATACGCAAGATTTGGCTAAGCTTTAAGGTACAAAAGCGTACCTTGCCTCAAGACAAAACCTTTGTTGCTTGTGTCTGCGTACTGTCTCCGTCTGTTTCTTAGCGGGGTTCAAAAATAGCCTTGCCGTGGCCTTAGCTAGGCTTTCCGTGACCTTACTTTGGTCTTGCACGACTTTACCTTGCCCTCCCCTCCCGCCGTCCCAGCCGGTCTCTGAATGGCCCGGTGTGCCTGGCGTGGGTCCGCTTTCCGCCGAGGGAGGCCGCCGGCCGGCAGCGGCCGCCCCCCGGGCCTGGTCCTCGGAGGCGGTACGGCAGTGGGCGCCGCCGGCCGACGGGCGGACACACAGACGACACAGCTTCACTGCCCCTGCCCAGGTCAGTAGAGATAGCAGGGCAGGTGAACGGCCCCCGCCCAGGTCAAAGTATTTAAGAAGCAAGATTATTTGTTAATTCAAGTTTCCCTGAAAACATGTTTACCTGCGAAATGGGGTTATTCATAACTTGATCCAAGCATTGAGCTAAATGTGCACTTGTATCCATAATTTTACATTGCATAAGACTTGAACTGAAATTTAACATTGCATAACTGTTTTGTACTTGGTAAGTTACAATTGTGTACTGCGTGTCTGAGTGAGTTGTGTGTGCCCGTTTTCTCAGCGGGAGGGTGCTCTGTGGCGTCCGCTGGCTGCCGAGCCGGTCCGCGTGCAGCGGTCCCTGCTGCCCGAGTTTGAGCAGGTGGACGTCGCTGCCGGGACGCGGCCGGCCGCCGCCCCACACCAAGGTGCGTCCCACCCTGTCACTGTGGGGCGGTGTGGGCGGTACCCCGGGGAGAGATTGTCGGAACGTGGGTGTGGATAAATGCTTATTGCTGACCTAGAATCCCGCGATTGTGTTAGCCGCTAATGATTGTTGATGTGTTTGTTCTTGCGGGTGTTCATTTCCACCCACGTCCACTGTGCTGTTTCAGTCCAAATACCTAGCTCGCAGACTCAGTGTAACTATTTTTAGACTGGTGACCCCCTGCAGTATACCACAATCTGCCGTATCCGTGCTTGCAGCTAACTGTTCGCCCTCCCTGTTTCAGAGTATGACGATGAGTGCGAGCGTCTGCAGGAGGCGCTGAACAAGGGCCGATCAAAGATTATCCAGCTAGAGGAGGAGATTTTCGAGCTCAAGTGCGCCCGACGCCGACACGGCAGTGGCGAGGTGAGATCACTGAGATGTCGATATTTGCGAGCTCCTAAACCCCGGCTGATGTCCAATAGGGTTCAGATGTGACGGTTTTCATTCGCGTATAAGTGATGCATCATGCGCCGTCATTGAAGGCGGGATTATTTTCTTAGTTTCTCGACCTTGCAAGACTAAAATAAGGTCAAAAGTTTTTTTCCTGATCCTTGAACGAAACTTCTATCTATGATCCTGATCGTCGTTTAAGACGGAGATTTCCTTGTGTGTGCTTGGCTTGTCAAAATTTAACTAAGGTTAATAGTTTGCCTTGATCCTCGGACTTCATTTGGATCCGCGATCCTTGGACGTATTCGAGGTTAAGGTCGTTTTCTTTCTGTATATATGCCTAGACCTTTCTGCAGGCCCATTTATCGTCATGCATATCGTTTCTCCCGCCAAATGGCTTTCCGGTATCCTCATTTTTACCCCTCCCGTCATCCCTGACCATCCCTCTTCCCTGCCCGTCCTTTAGTCCGGCTCGGCGGCAGACCTGTCCCGTCTGACCGGCTCCGTGCTGCTGGGCGGCGGCGGTCCGGGCTCCGGCGACCCGTTCCCGGGCATAGTGCGGCTCACGGAAACCAAGCTGCAGGAGGCGTATCAGCTGCTGGTGCGGGAGCGGCAGCGGGCCGGCCAGCTCACCAAACAGGCCTCCGAGGCGGCGCAGAGGGTGGGTGTGCCGCCGACGCGCGCTGCTGCACCGCCGGCCAGACCTCTGTCCCTCCCCGACACCGACACCCGTCCCCGACACTGCCGGTCAAACTGCCGTCCCTCTGCTGGCTCGGCTCTCTGCGTCCAAGTGTTCCATGCTGCACGGAGTTGAACGTTATGCAACTAGTACGAGTAACCCAATTACACGATTGTCGGTAGGTACCCATCCCGCGCTATTCAACATGTGCTATTTTGTACATATCTCATCCTGTGTTATTCCATTGTGTTGTCCACATGCCTTACCTATTATTGACGTCAGTACAGGACTCACAGGAGTCAGTGTCTGGAACACCGCATCTCCCCGCATCCCATATGTGGTTAGTTCAGATCCGACGCCCCCCCCCCCCCCCCCCTCCCGTTGGACAGCTGGAGAAGGCGGCGGCGGCGACAGCTGAGCTGAAACAGCAGCTGGCGCGGTCTGTTCAGGAGCGACAGCAGCTGCAGGGCCAGCTGACGGCTGCCGAGACGGCCGGCACCGAGCTGAGACAGCAGCTGCAGAAGCTCAGGTGGGCGCGGCTGCTACCCACGACCGCTTCAAGAGGTCGGGGTGGCGGAGGCTAGGGTCTCGCTGGGGCGAGGTGGTCAATTTGCGTAAATAAGTGTTGCACTCGCATCATCTGATCACCACGTGTCTCGAGATTTCGTACAGTCGCCGTACTTGACATTGTTTTCCTGTATCCCGTATACCAACTTTTATTGTACTGCCCTATACCCGTGAATCAGCTATACCCCAAGCCTGACCCCAGCAGAGCAATGTTGGTTGATAAGATGGCGGTCATTTTAACCAACTATGTTTTCAGGGAGGAGGTGCAGAGCAAGGACACTCAGCTGGCGCGCACGTCTCAGCACCTCGAGGAGAGGGTAGCTCAGGTCAGACGGGGCGCGGGGATGACTATTGCGCCACATATTTCGCGACACGAGAGCTGGAGGCACCTCTCTCAAGAGTCCGGCCCCTCCCCTGGTCCGTGAAACGCCATGTGCCCGTAACTGCCCGCTGTGACCCCCTGTGACCGCCCCTCCCCTCAGGTGTCCTCCCTGTCCCGCGAGCTGGAGGCGGCCCGCGAGGAGGCCGTCCGCCAGGAGCGCGCCGCCGCCGTCCGACAGGACGACCTGCTGACCCGGGTCACCCAGCTGGAGCAGACGGCCGACGCGCTCCGACTCGAGAACAAACGGCTCGGCCAGGCGCGCGACGAGGCCGGCCACCTGGCTGCGGTGAGCGTCGGGATGGGGTATGGTGGGGGTCGGGATGAGGTATGGTGGGGGTCGAGACTGGGTATGCTTGGGGGTCGGGATAGGTATGGCGAGGGCCGAGATGGGTATGGTCTGGGTATGGTGAGTAGGGAGGGGTATGTGTGGGTCGATAGGGGTACGATATGGCAAGGGCCGGGAGGGATACGGCGGGTTGGGGAGTGGGGAGGATAGGTAGCGATACGGCGGGAAGGAGCGCTTGGGCACTGGGTAGTGAGAGATGTCCGAAGCGTCCCTTCGAAAGTTATGGAATGTGCCGCGGGTTGGAGTTACACTTAAGTAAAATTTATTGACTATCGACTCATACGGAGAAGTAATACTTGCCTCGCGCTAAATTGGGCATAGGGCAGGCATAATGCAGCGCGTGTGTATTTCATTACGATCCTGGTACTAACATCCTGTTACGGCATTTATACACTGTCGTACGCAAAACAAGTTATATAACCAAACAAGAACCATGCTCTATTTAGGTGCACGTATGTCAAGGTCAGGCACTTTGCAATTCAAAAGAAAAACATCAAAGAGACTGTGGGACTTCCAACTTATTTCCGGAGGCTTCTCTAAGAATGGCAGTGTTTGCAGCCTTAGAACGGACGCCATCGCAGGACAGAAACAGGCAAACAATGTAAAGTTTCAAGTGTTTTTCTTCAAAATCGAGCGCTGTGTATCCTTGTACGCTTTTACACTTTATTGACCAGTAATGCCGATAGATAATGTTTTTTGTTGACTTTGAAACTCAAACAGCATTCAGTTCCTTCGTGCCCGCCTCCACGAATAGGCATCCACTTTCGTTCGGCTCGTCTTTGTACATCCGCTCAGCGTATGTGGTCTACGAGATAATTCAGTTGATAACTGTTTCCTTTGGGTTTTCAATCGTTTCATTGATAGCGTTTGTATTTTACCTGCCCGTCTGTTTCATCGCTTCTGTTTCACTGACAGTTTTCTCAGGGTATCTTAGTGTCTGTCTGGCTGACCATACGTATTTGCGTGTATTTTATTTATTTTTTTTGTGTTTTTGTTTTTTGTCTGACAATATATCCGTATTCCCCTGCTTGGCTGTCTTCCCAATGTCTGCTTCTTTCTTTGTCTGTTGTCTGACCAATGACCTATTCGTTTCCATTTTCTCAGAGCGAGCGGCGGCTGCGGCAGCGTGTCACCGAGCTTCAGGAGCGGCTCGACCAGAGCAACAACACGGCCAAGATGCTGGAAAACTACATCCACTTCCTCAAGTCGTCTTACAACAGCATGTTCGGCGCCCCGACCGCGGCGGGCGGCTCACCGGGGGTCGGCTCCCTGGCCTCGTCTGACGGGCACGGGGCGGCGCGTGGTCTGTTCCATCTGTCCGGGAAATGAACTGGTGCTGTCCCGCCGCCAGGGGCTTACCTGAGTGTGTCTGAAGACGACTCATCACTCAGCTCAGAAGACCTCAGCTCGTCCCCGGAGATCCTCAAAAACACACCGCCTCGTCTGCCGTTAATGGGCTGGTGGAACTTTCGTCCACTCTGTCTCCTTGACGATAATTGGAACGTGACATTTTACCTGAGCCAGAGAAGAAATATTGTTGCCGTTTAAAGTCGTTGTTTATGTAAGCCGTGCGCGCTGGTAGGTTTCCTCCTGATGACAAAAGTTACACTGCGTGGGCACCTGCCCCCGCGAGTCGGAACAAGTGTGCGCTGCTTTATTTAAAAGCTCGGTATCATAGTCGTGACGTCATGATCACAACACGGGCGAAACATGATTCCGTACAATACCCAGACGGGTGTCTTTTTACCTAGCCTCAACCGTTGGCTGTTTTGGTGAACCACCTACGCTCTGTCCGGCTGTGTGATAATGAAATGTCCGAGAATCGCGAATAAGGACACTGTGATCTGGGCATGGATATATTTACTGCATGATCTCCACGACGTCATTTATGTGCATTTATCATTGTAGATCACCATACTCATCGTCCCTGGACCAAGGGTTGTGTAAAATGATCTTCCCATGGTAATGTTGTCGTCGATCTCAGTTTTCCTAGTCATCGTAAGGACTGCGAGTATCGTCTGTTTGCTGATTGTTTGAAGTTTTGGTTGGGGGATGGGATTTACCGTTCTAGTCATCTGTTCTCGTCAGAGTTACGGAATTTAATAAATACCACCCAATGTTGCATTGATTTCTTTGCTGAAAGCGAATCTGGTCATCGAATTTAACAATCGTCTTTAACTTTCCGCATGGCTAATGAGATATCCTGATCCTGTCTTCCCGCAGTCGGCTCGTCGTCATGAAGGGAGCACCAAATGCAGTGAGTGGCACCATTGCTTGCCAAACACGCATTGCAATGCCATCGACAAGCATCGCTCATCGGGTGGCCGAAACGAGGGCGTTGCACCAATGCCGCGTCTGAGTGAAAAACATTCACGGCACATATCCGTTTTCAGCAAACACTTCACTACATTCTTCGGCGAGGGAATAGTGTATGGTTTGTCTGATATCCAACCACCCCAGACCCCTAATAAGACCGATTATTCGGATGGATGAACTACAGCATTTTAGGCGCAATTTCAAAAAGTCAAAGACCAAATTCAAAACGTTCACGTGCATTTTGAACGTAAACTTTTTGAATTTGGCCTTTAAATTTTTGAGATTGCGCCTAAAAAGGTGTAGAGGAACGATTGACTCTAGAGCAGTCCACACTCCACAGACGTGGATGAGTGGCAGGACGGATGACTGACAGGTGTAATGGAATAACGATTTACCACTCCGACGTCTGCGGGACCGCGTAAATGGAGTGTGAGCCAGTCTCGATACTCGTAAGCTCTTACGTGCGGCACGGTTTCACGGCTTCACTACCAAGCATTTATTCAACTCGGTCGTAGGACGCAAGATTACTTTACTACTCGTAGGACGCACCGTGCGCAAAAAGTTCTGGCCCTCTTACAGTAAGCGCTCCTACGCTACGCGTGCTGCGGTTGTTTTCCGGGAAGCCAATAGCCGCACGCAATATCTTCAATGATCCTGCTACACAGCCAGATGTCGAACAAAGCAGACCATTAACGGCCAGTCATGGAGGCAGGCTAAACGTTACATAGTCGTTGGATACCCGCGCGCGGCGCGGCCGAATCGGGCATGACTGTTGAGCAGGTTGCGATGAAATTTGGAGCCCCCTGCGAACAATTACGCGTATCAAAGTCAAATACCAATACACTGAAAGCATTTTTACACTCACATCGCCGTATTAACACCACCTAAAGGTGTAAATAGCAGACTGATCACTATACGCAGGTCTATAACACGGCAATTACGCTTAGAAACTGATCAAAGCGAAATTACACCTCGTTGTTGTGCAAATCACACTCATACAACACCTTATGGAAGTGCAATTCTGAACTTTAACACCTAGCTTTTGTTCGTTTACGAATAACACCTTCCTGTAGTGTAGATGATCGCGCTTCATGTGTGCTGTGTTATTGACAAAGGATCCTTGATCTGCGATTGCCGCATTTTTGTATTGGCTCAACACTGCTCTGAAGTGTAATGTACCGGACGGCAAAGGCGCATGCGCGTGACGCCGCTCGCACCCACGTGGCTTTCAGTTTCAGTGCGCCATTGTGCTTCAACGAACGTGGTTGTTAGTGTGCTGAGCTGGTGTGACTATTGAGCATTGAGGAAGACCCACCTGCTCCGGAACGGGTAAGTAGATGACAGCATTTTCGAGATAATACTTTTTCTCGAAAAATTAGGACGTGCGTGATTTCCAAAGCTAATTTGTAATGCAGGGATGGGAAAAAATGAGGTGCGCCGTGGTGCTGGCTCTGCTCTGCTTCTCTTGATGATATTTATGGCACTAGAATTATTGGTTTTTGCTTCATCCAATTATTTAATACTAGAACTTCTTGAAATTTTTACGTTTGGAGACCTCCAGTGACCTCAGTAATGACCTGATCAAAAAATGACCTGAATGATTCTGAACGATCTATAACGAGCTATCTGTTGCTTTTGTCTGCGTCTTAGCTATACTTTCTTAGATAACCTGGTGTGCCCCCCCTCCCCCCATGGCGAAGTTGGCTGAGAGGCCCACCCGGGCGCGGGTTAAACTTTCTGGCAGCGGCAAGTATGAGTAATTTCGCTTCCCATGTGTGTTTCAGAGAAGGAACTCGAACACCTACTCGAGATGCGTGAGGAGCAGGTCGTTTTTGGCCCTGCGACAACGAACGGACCGTCCACCATCGCAGATGGCGCACTTTGGGTCGAAAGGGAGAAGATCGCAAAATTCCAAACAATGGCGAACATGCAGGACGAACTGTATGTACATCATGAACATCGCTATCTTTTTCGAGCGCGCTCGAAGGCGCTGGACTCGAACGCCTAGCCCCGGTTCATATATGCAGAGGACTCGCCGTTTCATGTACTTGTTGCACGGATCAACGTCCAATAAACGTTAAAATATTCTGACATTATACTGGTGTTTATTCTTCGTAAAGAGCGTGAGCGCGACCGGTGCAGGGGAAAGGGGGAGGAAAGGGGAAGGGGATCTGGAATCAACAACACCCGAAATCGGATCGATATATACACTCGGAAGGCGTGTTCTGCTCTAGGTGTAACACTACAGTAAAAGGTCAATCACGAGTGTACCCGCCTTTTTCATCCGCCTGGAGAGTGTAAACGTGCAAAGTCAACGCCCCGGGCGAGTGTCTTGTTACACTTTATTTGAGTGTAAATATTACACCTCAGACGAGGGTAAAAAACGCAGAATTTCAGCTACACCCTCCTGAGGTGTTTACACCCGAGGAAGGTGTAAAAAAGTTTTCAGTGTAGGGGAGATCCTGGAACATGTCCCCAGGTCAGACCGGTCACGTCCAGTCAAAACTCTGAGAATGTGACTGCCTTGTCTCAGCCATCCAGGACAGCCCACGGCTCGGGCGGCAAAAAGTGCCCAACCGTCTTCATTAACGCCAATTAGAAGATAAATGGGACGATGCATAAGCGTCTGCTTGACAGTGACGTCATCCCATGGATCCTGAAGACGTATCCAAAAGTCGATTTCGTTTTCCAGCAGGATACTACACCCGCAAACAACGCAAGTTCCATCCAGCACAAGCAAACGGAGGAGCTCGGGGAGAAGCCCATTGTTGGCTTAATAGCATATTGCCCCCTCAGTCACCCGACCTGAACCCCTTGACTAAAGCATCTATGTAAAGCGTTTTGCAGGATGAGGTCCAGGGAGTGTCCCATCCCAATTTGGAGGCCCTGAAGGCACACATCGTGAAGATGTGGGAGACGAAGGACCCCACCTACGTCATCAAGACATGCAAGTCTTTCCGCCTACGTGTGGAGAAGGTCATTGCCGATAAGGGGGTTATATCGCGCATGAGGTGAGTGAACGTATCTCAATCTGGTTTGATAATGCAAACCAATCTTTGGTGTTAGCGTTCATGGGCGTCACCACCACTAGGGACACTAGGGACATTGTCCCTAGAAGTTTTGAAATCATCGAAAACTACTAGGGATTGTCCCTAGAAGTTTTTGGAGCTCCCTTTACTGGGGACACGCAAAGAACCCGGGGCACAATAATGACGCAACTTGTTCAGCTCTCCAAACACATGTGTTTTGCCTTGCGAACGGTCGCGTCAACATCGCCACGATAACTAAAAAGGCCCACGAGCGGTTTGCCTCCTCACAGATGTGACGGTGCCCTCCGGCCTCCAGGCACGTGCGTGTGGTCGCCGTAAAGCTGGATACGGCAGGCCGGCACTCGTCCGAGAAATTGGTCGAGTTTGTTTCCCAGTCACCCGAGGAGACACCCGAGCCGATTCTGGAGGTGCCCAGCGTGATTGCTCAAACGAACTCGGCTGGTTACATACAGGTCCAGCTTATAAACCCGACCGATGACGATATGCAGCTGCCCGCCGGTTACGAGCTGGGGCAGACCCAGCTGTATGAGGGGCTGGTCGCCAAAGTGCGCGTGGACCCGGCGGGAGGTCAGGATCAGGGCAGTACTGGGCCGCCGCTCTGGGCCGGCCGCTGGTCAAGCCAACATTTTACATTTCCTAAATCAATTCCCTCTGGAACATCGGAGTGGGGATCGGAGACGGCGGGTAGAGGGGGAGGCATCAGGGCCATGCCCCTCGCCCAAAGGGAAAATCAGGGGTCATCATATAATTTGCCCCCCCCCCCAAAAAAAAAAAAACAAGCGATGGGGCCCCGGCCCTTATTCGATTGTCACTAGGCTCAAGAAACCCACATCAGCTATTAACAGCTCCATACCGGTCTTTTAGGGCCCTACACTGACCTCTGAGGGCCCTTCCATGGTGGTCAAGTGCCCACACTGACCGTGGAGGACCCGCATTGACCTCTGAGGGCCCTCCGCTGGGCCCCTAAACCGGCCTCAGGGGCCCATCCGGCGTCTGAGGGCCTCACATCGGCCTCTGGTGGCATTTCTGTCTCTGGGGTACCAAGACTAACCTTTACGTGTCCCTGAGGGCCCTGTACTGGATTTTGAAGACCCGATGCCGGCCTCTAAGGGCCTGCATCGGCCTCTGAGGGCCTATTTTGACCTTTGGGGCCCTCTGCTGGTCTGTGGGGCCTAACGCTGGCTCATGCCGGTCTTTTAGGACCCAACACTGACCTCAGACGCCCCAATGTTGGCCTGTGTGGCCCATATTAGCCTCTGAGGGCCCCGCACTGGATTCTGAAGACCCGATGCCGGCCTCTAAGGGCCCGCATCGGCCTCTGAGGGCCAATCTTGGCTTTTGAGGGCACTCTGCTTGTCTCTGGGGTCCAACGCTGGCCCATGCCGGTCTTTTAGGAACCCACACTGACCTCTGAGGCCCCATGCTGGCCTGTAAGGGCCAAAATTATATTAGCCTCTGAGGGTCTCGCACTGGATTCGGAAGATCCGATGCCGGACCTTTCATGGCCTGCATTGGCCTCCGGGGGACCATTTTGGGCTCTGAGGGCCCTCTGCTGGCCTCTGGGGTCCAACAGGTTTGCATAGGCAGAATGATGTGGGCACGCGTTTCCTGATCGAAGAATATGCCTACATACTACCGCGTAACTTCTTCGTTTTTTCCCCAACTAAACATTAATTATTATCCCTCGTTTTTAAATTAGGCAGTGGCCGAAGTCCAACAAGGAACGAAGATTTGGGGGTAGGTGGGCATTGGCGACCAGACTCAAGCAAAGGTTTGTGGCGACGCCCTGGAAAAGTGTCCCTAGAAGTTCTGAAACCGTGGTGACGCCGCTGTTAGCGTTGATAATATTCACTCCGATTGCATTCGTTTATCGAAGTACAGAAATGGGCCAGAACTTTTTGCACACCCTGTAACCGTCCACTCCCAACCAAATGCACGATGCAAGTCCTCTAACAAGCTCGGTCTGCGCCTCGGATGGGAGCACTCTGAGCACCGGCACTCCGCGGCAACGGTCGCTGGTTTCCATTACTTGTTAGTGTCGCGGGAGATGATAGCTCTACATATCTCCAGAGCAGCTTTTTTCGGCCATTTCGTTAACACACGCGAGACATCCCGCCACGCTTCCAGAATGTCTGCTGCGTGCCTCCAGTAGTTCAAATCAGTCTAATGAGGAGCGTCGTTACTCGAGTTGGTCGTCCGTTTAAAAATACGGCGCATTATATAAGTGGAGCATACGGCTGTTAAAGTACCGTCGTCTACAGGCTAAGCGCATACTATCTTGTCAGTACCTGCAACTGAGCTCAGCAGGGCTTTTTCATTAGTGGCTCTGCGGAGAAAGGTTATCACTGATAGGATTGGTGGATACCTGGAGAAGACGATCGCTCGCTTTACCCACACATCTGCGTTCGTGAGCGCCGAGACCAGCGCGGTGGTGGAAAGGTAGCGGCACAAAGATATATACAATCACGTGGGACGATCAGCCGCGGACGGCGGAGGCCATGATCCTGGCGTGGGACGCGTAACAGCCGTCGATGGAGATCCACTGAGCGGCGAGCTTCAGGGTACTCGTAAGCAACGAACAATGAGAGGGTCTTGCTCAAGGCCCTCTAACCGTCTTGCCCACCCCTTGCCCGACGTAATAAGGATGCATTGGCCAGCTAAGTACACACTGCACACTACGATTTAGGAATTAACAATGGCACAAGAAAGTGAACACTGGGCAAGGATCATATGCTTTAATTCAAATTACATTTTAAGGATGATAATGTGATTTCCATGAACACTGGACGTCCCTACCCTCGAGACATGACACTCGGCTCGGCGGCATGGCAGACGTATCCCAAACAACTAACGGGATCTGAGTAATGGGGTGACATCATATCGTCCCATGAGCCTCGGTATGATCTGGATATAACCGGATCCCTACACGGGTTGGCATAACATAGCCACCGATCACCGAACCACAAACAGACCGGCTCGCACTCTGTCCCGTCGTGACCTGACGGCCGGCCGGCCGGCGGTGGCTGGACCGTCACTGGCGAATGATATCGGGCCTCTCTGCGGCCAGAGACCGGCAGACCGCTGTCGGAGCCGGGCCGAGCGGGTCGGCGGGTCTCGGCGGTGCCGTCACCAGTGGTAGTGGTCTCCCTCCCCCGACAGTGGCCATGTCCTGTGACCCGCTGCCGGTGATCGACCTCCGTCAGGCGGCCGGGCCGGGCCGCGCCCAGCTGGCCAGCCGACTCGTCGCCGCTCTGGAGACGGACGGCTTCTTCTACGTGGAGGGCATCGACGGCTACGACGAGCACGAGCTCATGTCGTACACCAGATGGTGAGGGGCGCGGAACTGCAGTGCAGCAGCGGCTGCTACACGTTCCAACTGTTGTGTGAGCTGGTGAAGATGGAGACCGTTTAAAATTCAAACTATGAATCGTATTGGAGTAATGCTTGGAAGCTACATCAATTGAGCATCTTTCCTCCTCTTGTGGGACGTTTTGTGATGTCAGTTGCCAGAGTGACAAAATTGACCATAATGCGGAAGACGTACAATGTATTTAATATGTAGCGTCACTCGCCGCGAATTTTTTCGCAGGTTCTTTGAGCTGCCAGATTCTGTTAAAATGGGAATAGCGAGGAGCAACTTCAACCCGGCGACGAATATCCGATACCGTGGTTATTTCCCTGTGGATAAGACCAACGCCTCGCATAAGGAAGGTAGGCAAACGAGACCCCAGAAGATTGGTGAGCAGCACCAGCCGATACGTTGATTGTTCGGTCTCCGTACAGCCTGCATGACATTATAGTTATCTTCTTTTTACGTGCATTGAGCGTTATTTGTAAGCGTAGCAATTGTAAACGGTGATAGATCAGAAAAGAAAGGACTTTGCAAAGGACGGTCTTGTTCAAACTAACTTTACAGAGATGTGATCGTCTTACGCAGAGCTTTAGCGCCTAGCGGCAGCATGTGTGACGGCTGTGTGACGTCCGAGTTCCCGCGTCCATATGTCGAATGAGTGATCTGCGCACTACAATGTCTATAATATGTGGCCGTATATGCATAGTGTCGCCGTGTGACCAGGCATTTTCGGAGCACCGAATCTTGACAGCTTCTTCAGTCGCTTCCGACCCATTCCCGACCGATGCGTCCCCAGGTTATGAGCTGGGCTCTCTAGAGCCCCTCGTCGATCCAGAGAAGCACTCGCACAATCTGTTTTACGAGCCCACACCGTGGCCAGAGGTGACCGACCGAAAGCAGCTGGATGCGTTCAAGGTTAGCCCAATAGTGATAACTGCGCCGCCAGTGATTATTGATAGCCAATAGGCAATTGATGTCGAATGTCGATGGCCAATGGCTGCAGCCTGTGAGGGATTGTTAGTTGGATAGATATCCCGTAGATTTAACACAAAGGTATGATGCCCGACTCTTTTGGAAACGGCTCTTGTATTCTATTGCATTGGTTTTTATTACGCATATTAGTTTATTATGACTGATATCCATCATGACGCGTTCGGTGGACATTTATGTAAATGACGCGGTACATCACCGTCTTCAGTACTCATGAGTTCAGCGTGCGGTTCTGATGTCTGCACCGTCTTCCGCCAGGATTTCAGTGTGCGGTTTTTCCGTCTGTCAGGAGTTCAACGCACGGTCGTGCCGTCCGTCAGTATGTAGTTCAGTGTGCGTTTCTGCCGTCTGTGCAGGAGTTTAGTGTGCGGTTCTACGGTCTGATGACGGCCGCGGGTATGACACTGCTGGAGCTGGCCGCCGAGGGCTGCGGCGCCCCCTCCGACAAACTGGTCAACCTGTTCCGGCCGGACCCGGTCTCCACGCTGCGCTACCTGCACTACCCGCCCCGGCAGGGCGACATCCCGGCCTCGGCCCGCGACCCCACAGACGGTGAGTCAATAGTAACAGGGACCCGGGAACCCACTGAGCTGTGCCTCGAACAAACTCCTGACAGCAAATTTTTTATCTTATTGAGAAAAACTCAACTCGCCCAAGGCAAAAAATATGCAGGCTGTAAATTTGTGGTCACTTCATGCTTGGTCCATTAAAACATTATGCTTTGTACTTATGGAAACATTTTAGTTTTTAGTTAACATTTTTCTTAAAAAGAGCAGGGATTTTCTCCTCGAGGCCAATTCGGTAAAAGACGCTCGACAGAGTGAGTGCGCATTTCTCAACTTTGTATGGTGAGTCACTGGTGAGTCACTGGTATCACGGTGAGTCACTGGTAAGTACCTCGGCCTCATCGACATTCTACAATGAATCTCTGGAGCACCACTGGACTGCCACCAGCCGAGCTATTACTTCACTGCACGCAACAAATCGTGAAAAAGTGCCGGTGTGTTATGATCTATTATAGCGAGTAGCGACTTGCAGGGGCTTCAGCTTCCAAATAGTTGCCAGGTGTAGGGCTAGATAATAAGTGTAATGACACCGACCCCATACTTCGGCGACCACCTAAGTATGTAGGTATTCTGCTGAATCACTGCTCCCAAAGCAGCAGTAAAAAGGGTCGGACGTGTTGAACTAAAGATATTCGTCGATAAGTTCAGTGCTGCTTCGTAATATGATTTATGTAGTTTGCGATCTAGACTACAGACTACAAACGGTACCTACCAAAACTGTCTTAAGCTGCATTTTCAGGCGCCCTTCTGCTGTGCGGCGCCCATAACGACTCGGGTTTCCTGACGCTGCTCTCGACGTTCGAGTACGAGGGTCTGGAGCTGCAGCGCGCCGACGGCTCCTGGATGCCGGTGCCGTGTAGGAGCGGCGCCGTGGTCGTCAACATCGGCGACATGCTCTCCACCATCTCCGGCGGCAGGTGGAAGGCCACCCACCACCGGGTCATCGACCACGGCGTCGACAGGTCGGTGGAGCTGAATCAAAGCTGGAGAACGGGATGGTGGGATGCAAGAACGGATCATCCGTCGGTGCGTGGGGGATGGGGTAAAGACGATCTGTCGGGCTTAGGGGTGTTTGTGAAAAAGATAACTGGTGTAACGTGGGATACCTATATGACTGAGTCGTTTAAATGCCGGCACTATCTTTCCGACTTTTACTTTTTACGTTGTTGCAATTAACAATTGTAAATCCGATTTAACACCAATACCAATTGGCTTCAGAACCTGAAACGTGGTAAGTATTTTAAGTTAAATTTTATCAAACTATCAGAATCAAGTAAAGCAGTGTCTAAGAAAACAAACTATCCAATAGTCCAGTTAGCTCTTATCTGCAAGCTCATTTTCAGTTCCTATGCCTACATTCTTACAAACGTGCAGCCTAAAAACTGCTTCCGCTTGACTTTGTGTGCAGTGTTCGCCTACCCCGACCCTCTCGCTCTCATATCGGGGGAGAGAATTGTCTCGTCTCTGCCGTTTGCTGGTTGCCTCTAAATGATGGGTCATGTCCACTGGCTCTGAGAATTTGTTTGGATACCAGAGCACGGCACGCCCCTGAGAGATAGGAAGCAGAAGCGGACACTGTTTGTGTTCGGACAGCTCGGACCATGTGTTAACCATAGGTGCCAGTGTTGTGTTTGGACCTGCAGAGGGCGGACTAGGATCGCTGACCTTGACTCGAGTGCTGGCCAATGACCTCTGGTGATGAGGCCAGTGGCGCTGACACGTGACGCGAGAGCATGTTGTAACGTTGTCGAGATTGCGCCGACGTCTTAGAAGGATATTGCACCATTTCAATTTATCAACTTGCAGCAATCCATTGCGTGATGGCATTCTTATGACGCACCCTTTAACCCGCAGGTATTCGGTTCCATTTTTCTTGGAGCCGACGTATTCTGCCAACATGTGTGTCCGCCTCCAGGACTCCCAGGAACCTCCGCGAGAGCCGATCAGCTACGGGCCCTGGGCGCTCACCAAAATGATCAACGACTATTACGAGTTCAGGGACCTGCCATATCCTCAGTCGCTGGTCGCCTGACGACAGAGCCATTTTGATATAGTCACTCGTCTTGGGTCAGCCACATGAGACACTGATACCGCCTGCCTGCTACAATGGTGTGCACTTGACATTTTGCCACCGCGTTTGTACCAGTTATTGCTCCTGTCATGACTAAATGCTTAAATCTAATTTCTTTTGTTTTTATGTGTTACACGGGCTTCAGCCACGGGACCTTCCATTCTTCGTCATTTTCCTTGCATAAAACATTATCATTATGCTGCAAATACATTTATAGAAACACGAGAGAGGCACTAATTATTTTTACCATTAGCATTGATTGTAGAGTGATTGTCTATGTCCAATTTGCATATATTGGTTACACGTAATAAGCCATGAGTCAGCATAAGTGCCTCACCGGAGGGACGGTGAAGGGGTACTCGTAGTCACCACTCAGTCCGCGTGGAGGGCGACTAAGCGTTAAACTTTTCACAGTCCGAACGATCTCGATTGGTGCTCTTTGATGCTAGCAAGCTTCAAGTGTGATTAATCTACACAAATGTCGGCTAAATAGGAGTATTCGCGAATGATGGGATTACAGTACTTACTTGAAAAAAAAAGTTTGATGTAGCCGTGGTAGTTGTCTCCGGCTGACCACGCGGGTCACACGATCTATCCGCCAGCCGTCTATGGCGAGTTCGTAACTCCTCACTTACTCTTAGGTGACACAAAGGCACAGAGCACTCCGGACGAACTTCACCCACGCTTCGCACAGCCGCCTATTGCAGGGGCCTATTGCACCAAAATACCTTGGTAGGTAGGTACTGGGTAGAATCGGCAAACTGGTTTCATACGTAGCCAGAATAGGGTGGTAAATTCTATTGCGCCAGCTCATTGCGTAGGTATCCTACAAGTGCTTGGTAACATTCTCAGGTGTAAACCATCACGAAACAATATTTCGAGTGGGTGCCCGGTACAAGGGACAAGTAATACAAAAAGACGTAATACAAAATTAATCCAAATAGGTATTTTGGTGCGAGAGGGTCACTGCCCACTGGTCACCGTCACTGGAGTCAAGGCCGTAAACTGGAGCGATTCGCGTGACCGACTCGCTCTGGTCGTACCCCGCCCCGGGCGGCGCACAGGCGCACCCAGGCAGTCTCCGCGGGGCGGCGAACGGGCGCATCCAGGCAGTCTCCGCGGGGCGGCGCACGGGCGCATCCAGGCAGTCTCCGCGGGGCGGTGCGCCCGGTACGGGTGCACCGAACTTACACTGGACACCGCAATAGGTTATCATATGCGCAGAATACACTCCTTGGATGCCTCAATTGAAATGTGCCTCACTCAGTCATCTAGCTTGTAGAGAATAATAGTACAACTGATTGGTATATTACATCGTTTCCGAATTACGATTCGTTCGTAACGTCTTGAAGAAGAAAAAAACGATTAGAGGAAGACAAAGAACCGATATAGAGGAGGACGAGAGAAAGAAACTCGTTTCAAAATGGCTAGATGATGTTGACTTACAGAACTATACGAGCTTTGATTGTTTTTGAATATGAACGGTTGATAAAATGTGCTAAGCATATACGAGTATGCATTTGCACAGGCTGAAAACGAGGCACTATGGGGGTGCACTGTTCGACGGTCAGTGGCTATAAGCTTTGACCGTTCCTTTAGTCACGTTTGTCAACCTGCTACCTCCCAATGTCACCATGTCAGCCATATTATCCCGTTATTGGGTGTCTGTCACTAATCCGACATTCCATCCCCTGCTCCCACTGCCGAACCCGTGTTACAGCTCTCCTCTCAGTAACAGGCTTTGAGGCTTGTTAGTTATTTTTATTGTTTTTCGTCGTAGCAACTTATTACACCATAAAATCTAAAAAGAAAAATAGAGGTTTATATTTCATCCAGTACATACACACGTCATATTGCAGTATAGACGCCGGCCACCGACACGACTAACGAGCACACCGGTTGTATTGGAATGAGAGCGCGGCGGGGGAGGTTGATGCCAAGTACAGAGCGGCAAATGGGCTAGAAACACCATACATATATCTACACGAGTGCAGCGGGGGCGAATATGTATAACGGGCGAGCCAACGCAGACAGTGCTGTTCGGCACCAGCCTCCTCCGCGGGTAACAGGGACACCGATATATAGACGCACGCGGTATGTTCACACGCACCCACACAGCTGATACACGCGTCTGGTGACGTGCGAGGGCCGACCGGCGCACCCAGTATAGGGAGGACTGGTGCCAGCTCCTCTCAGATCAGGGCCCGTCCCTGGCGACTGCCACGGCCGGCGCAGGAACGAGATCAGAGGCGCGCTCCGGGCCCACCGGCCGGGGATTGGAGGGGCTCGGCTATCCTGCCGAGTCGGGTGACCAAGTCAGCCAGCCAGCGCTGATTAACCCGGCGCCGTGCGCTCCCTCAGCGGCGCTCGCGTTATTGCTGCCAACTGCGATTAGAGCTGGTCACCGGCGACAGTAAAGTCTAGAGATAAAAACATGATAGCAATAATCTGCTTTTAAATTTTGAGATATTGTGAATGGACTCTCTCTCTCTCTCTCTCTCTCTCTCTCTCTCTCTCTCTCTCTCTCTCTCTCTCTCTCTCTCTCTCTCTCTCTCTCTCTCTCTCTCTCTCTCTCTCTCTCTCTCTCTCTCTCTCTCTCTTCTACTCTCTTCCCCCTTGTTTTTACCACCGGCCTCCAGGTCTAAGACGGCGGTGTTCTCAGTGACTTTCAGGTTCGGCCCGGGAGACCAAGTCCAGGACAGCCACACTGGAGAGGAAAACACGATAGTCCGAGGCCGGGGCGGCTGACAGTTTGGGCGCGTTGGGCTGCGGACCGATGGCGGGGTGCGGGGCTGTGCGGGCGGTGCCTCACGGAGTGCCGGCGCGTGTCGCTGGCGGCGGCGTCTGAGCTCCGCCCCACTGGTGATCGGCGCGCTGCCGCCGCCGCCGGCGCTGGCTCAGGACGGCACTCGGTGGCGGCGCCGCCCGCGCGCGCCCGCGCCGCCAACACGCACTTTCACACACTCTACGTGATCAAAATAGGTGCTCTGCTTTCCCACCTTATATGAAACACCTGTTTAAAAGGGTAAAAGCAACAACAACAAAATAGCTCAGATAAAATGTTGAGTGGTCACGGTTAGAAGATATAAAAAAGCAAGGCAACTTGTTAGAACTTCAAAATCAAAATACGCTGACATGATAGCCAAATCAACTACTTGTTTTTTTTTTGTTATGAACTGATCACCCAAAACAGACATAATAGTTATGTATGGTGTTCCATGAAAATATTCAAATTTGAACGGTTAGTAAATGGTGAGTGACGAAAAGTTATTCGGAAATTTGCGCTCCTAAAAAGCACGAAAGCAAAAACTACAAATCTTTGAAAACAGGGCTCGTATACGACACGAGCAAAACAAGATCGTTTTCCTCAAAATCACAAACTGTAAGCGTCACAACAAAATAGACGTCCCAAATCAGATCGATTATACGTTCAAGCTGCGGTGGATTTAAGCGATTGCCTGTGAATAGCGTGATCCTTATTTGCGCAACGACCGCAGCCTGCGTGGGACTGTTGACATGGATAGCACGGCCACAGCTCGGCGTCATCCTAACCCAATGACGATGACATAATAAGGTTGTTTACTTCCATCCATTCTCAGTGATAATAATACATATTCTTCAGAATGTGAATGATTGGATGGCTTGGAATGCAGATAAGTTTTCGGGAGTACGATATCTTACACATGGCAGAGCTCCGTCCTCACTTAGAGGCCGGCCCCTATGCACCTGGTTTGTGCTCTTGCGTGGCAGACAAGCTGTGGACCCCAGGGCCATTGTCTACCGACACTGGTGTCATCAACATTATGTGCTTCAGTGAACAGATAGAATAAAAATAGAACAGCTGAGTCTCGCTATGCCGGATGAAATGAGAAACCCCAGCAAGCACAGGTCTCGGCCTATTATAGTGAGACAAAGGCTCAAGGTTGAGCGAGGCGATCATTCAGCGACAAATGACAGAGAACTCGGCAGCCATCGGAGCCACCATCAAAGGAAACACCATCAAAGGAAACAGCATACAAAGTAGACCGCTGCCGGCGGCTGCCGATGCCGCTCGGAAGGCTCCGTCAGTCCCTCAAAGGAATGCACGGTGCTGGCGGACGCAAGCACTTAGTAAGCTCACTGCAGAACTACATAAGAACGGCAAACCGCGCCCTGCCGCGTTGTGCTCGGTATTCCCGGTCACAATTGCCGTGAAATTAAAGTTTTGTACGCGCTTTACATATGAGATCCGAGAAGCGGCCGCGCCGCCGCGCGCAGAGCTGCCCGGCGTGGCCCGTTCGGAGGCCGGTCTGCTCCGGGCCGAGACGGGCCCGGGTGCCGCGGCGGGCGGCGCGGACCGACGGCGATGGAAGCTACAGTGGAGGTAACCACCGCGCCGACAGAGCGCCACTGGACGGTGCAGAGACGGCGCGCGGAGCGCCCGGCGGCGCCGCGCTGGGGCCGCCGCCGGCGAGCGGCGCGGAGACACGCCAGCCGGTGCCCAGGACCTGCTAGCGGCCTCTCGCCCACCGCAGCAGCGCGTCGGCTAACACGTTTAGGTGCGTCTTGGTCTGAAACAGCAGAGATCAGAGTCAGTTGGGACTGACTCAGACAGGATGTTCTCATGGCCAATAAGTATGACGCTGCCTTTACAGGACATACAATAACGGAAATGAGCAAGGCATCGGTTAAGATGCAGCCTGCCATTGTTCCAACAAAAGCAAACTTTAATTAATATCACATCGAGCTGAGCAGATTACCTCTCCACCTTTCGTATGACATAAAACAGAGGGAGAACTTTTTGTCGAACCACTCATTCATTCGAAAAAAGTTACGTAAAAACACGTCTCATTGGTTGACATTCGACAACAAGTATTGACCGAGGTATAGGAACTGACCGTTTTATAAAACATGCAGTTCTTTCTGTCCTCGTCTTCGCTGCCGGGACAGTCGCGGTATCCGTTGCACAACATGTGGTCGTCTATACAGCGGTACCGGCCGTGGTAGTCGGCCGTGGGACACGCGAAGCGCTCCATTCCGTCCGAGGCGGGCGGACACTCTGCGGAAGGACATACAGACAGTCAGATATAACGTCTCCTCAGAGAGACCAGCGATATGTAACGTCGCACGCGAGAGGACATTCTGCGTGACTGTACGTGCAGATTGCACATATGTATACTGTATTTGTAGGGTTGACAGCAATCAGGTGCATTCACTCGTCGATGTAAACAGATGAAACGGGTAGAAGTGCTGTTTTGTACACAACAATGTACGCACATTAAGTTTGTACAATGTACAGCCCTCTGCAAACTGCGTGGTAGGTATTCTTTTTTCGACAAAAACGAGAATAATGCGCATACTATGCTATCGGTCATTCGCAAATCGTAACAGGAAGACACGCGAGACTCCGCACCTTAGATTGGCATCATCACCGTATTCATTTTCCTTCTAGTTCGACAACAAAATCCAAAAGTTTATATTTGCCCGGGCCCCCAAAACAAACTTTTGCATTTTGTTGCCACACAAGGCGTATACTTTGTTTAGTGATACACCTAATCGAAGGAGTGGAGCATGGCGCATCTATTTGCAGTGAGTTCTGCCCGACTGATAGCATAGCCTCTGAGTTATTACCGGTTTTGTCGAAAAAAGAATACCTACCACGCAGTCTGCTGAGGGCTGTACAAAGCGTACATAGTTATGATAAAGTGAACTATATAAACCATCAAAGACGCTGCCCAGCACGTGTTCACGTGCTTAGGTAGAGCTGTCTTGTTACGAGCGAGCGAGCGCAGCGAGCGAAGTGAGTCTTTTCAATATAACGGAAAAATCTCAGTATGAGCGGCCCGGCCCGGCCCGGCCCGGCCTGTAACGCTTTTGAGAGGCTTATATCTCAGCAACCGCTGGACCGATTGGCCTGCGGTCTTTTTTGTTGGGTAGCCCCATCCCTTCTACCCCGTAATTGACTATTTTTGATACATCTCAGTGACCGTCGTGGCACGTGCCACGTGAAAAGTCAAGGGTGTTCAAACTGTTTTGCAAAAGTAGTGATTTTGAGAGGCTCATATCTCAGCAGCCGCTTGGGTGATTGACTTGCGGTATATTTTGTAGGGTAGCAGCATCCCTTCTACCCAAAATAGGATACTCTCGATGTATGTGGGTCACCCCCAGTGCACGTGCAAAATACAACAATAAGAGGTGCCAAATTTGTTCCCATTTCAGTAACTCGGTAATTACTGGGGCGATTTCACTGAAACTTGGCATACAGGTAGGCACCCACCAGGCAATGCTTTCCCATGTGTTGCGGTTAGGGTGCTACTGCACGTGCGCACGTGCAGGGGGCGTTTCCAGATCTCGAGAACGGCTGGGCCGATTGCGCTCAAATTTGGTACACGGTTGGGGACCAGTTAGTACACTGAAAATAAATTAACACTCGCGTGCCGGTGACACGAAAAAAAGCACCGATGAGAGGCGTTTTGGTAGGGTGTAACACAACTCAACTGTGTAACTGTGGGGTGTAACGCCGAAGAATGGTGCAATTACTCGGTGTTCAAAATCAACACCGACAATTAACACCAATGCCACCTCAGACCAACCGACGCTACGGATACCTAAATAACACCACCATTTGGTGTCAACACCCCGTGACAGAGACGTTATATCGCATACGCCACACAATGGTGTAGCTCCCAGTTCATTGATCACTAAACGGTGTTACTAGCACCGTTACCATGGATCGGATATGGCCTTGGATTCAAGGTCAGCCGGCCGCCGGCCAGCGCGAGCGGCTGCGCGTGCACATGCGTAAATTCAAATGAACGGCGGCGTGTTGATTCGCGCTTCAGTTTGAGTCGAGTGATGCGGGGCTGTGTGGAGACTGGAGGTGGTGTGAGAATCAGGGCTGCGGAGTCGGAGTCGGAGTCGGAGTCGGAGTCGGAGTCGGAGTCGGAGTCGGAGTCGGTCGGAGTCGACAGTTGTGACCGGAGTCGGAGTCGGAGTCGGAGTCGCTTTTAGAAACCCGATCCGGAGTCGGAGTCGGAGTCACCGAAAATCTGTCGACTCCGCAGCCCTGCTAGGTCTGCGGAGTCGGAGTCGGGAGTTGGAGTCAGTCGGAGTCGACAATTCTGCCCGGAGTCGGAGTCGGAGTCGGAGCTGGTTTTTGAAAGCCGGAGTCGGAGTCGGAGTCGGAGTCGCCGAAAATCCATCGACTCCGCAGCCCTGTGTGAGATAAATAAGTGATAAATAAGTGTGATAAATAAGTGTGATAAATAAGTGTGATAAATAAGTGTGATAAATAAGTGTGAGATAAATGTCTGGTCTGGTATGATGTCAGCAGAGTCCGGTGACCACCCGTGCACTTGAGAAAGCGCCACTCACAGTTGCCGCAATTTTTGTTAATAACATTTGTTTATTGCTCGTCTCGGACGTTACAAAATAAATTGTCTTTATTTAAGGAATGCTTTGCTTTGTATGGGGTCTAGGCAAGCCACAGTATATCCATATGGACTTGTCACATATGTTCACACAGACCCATGCACACGTATATATGTATATGTATATATATATATATATATATATATATATATATATATATATATATATATATATATATATATATATATATATATATATATATATATATATATATATATATATATATATATATATATATATATATATATATATATATATATATATATATATATATATATATATTAATTCATCGAGATTCATTCCGGATATATTAATTCATCGAGCTGCAGCTACACCAAACACCGGTGTATCTCCTTCACAACACCGGAAGAGGGTGTACCCAATTGGCTACTAACACCACACATTGGTGTAAGGGTATTTGTTTTGTACCAGTAAAGAAGGTGCAAATTAATGGTGTAGCATCTTTTTATGGTGTAAAGACGTCGTGTAGCACCACAAACTGGTGTACTTACAGTGATTTAACGCCATACGCCAGTGTATGTGCCTGGTGTTACACCAGGATTCAGTGTATGCTTACACCAAAGCTTGGTGTTGAAACTACACCGGTGCAGGTGCTCAAAAACGGTGGGGTGTAAACATTTCCTAGAAAGGTGTAAACACCAGGAGCGGGTGTGAATTTATTTTCAGTGTAGGGTGCCGTGCAAAAGTCATTTTGGACCCCGTTTGCACGTGCGCACGTGCAGAATGCCGCTTCCAGATCTCAGGAACGGCTGGGCCGATTGCGTTCAAATTTGACACACCGCTAGCGACCGGATAGAAGGGTGCTTTGCACAAGCCCGTTGGAAGCACCCTCTCGCCCTTCCGCACGTGCAGGGCTCACTATCTCGCTCGCTCGTTCTTCGCCCAAAAGGCGTTTTACTGGTAAATATTGAAATATTCATAGGGCTGCGGAGTCGATGGATTTTCGGCGACTCCGACTCCGACTCCGGGCAGAATTGTCGACTCCGACCGACTCCAACTCCCGACTCCGACTCCGCAGACCTAGCAGGGCTGCGGAGTCGACAGATTTTCGGTGACTCCGACTCCGACTCCGGCTCGGGTTTCTAAAATCAACTCCGACTCCGACTCCGACTCCGGTCACAACTGTCGACTCCGACCGACTCCGACTCCGACTCCGACTCCGACTCCGCAGCCCTGAATTTCATGCATAAAGAGCGGGGAAGTGAAAGGGGAAGGAGATTGTTCAAAACGCATATTTCGTAAGAGCAGTCTGCAATGTCCGGTTAGCTCCTGTTGAGCACTGTGTCTAGAATCTTGTGTATTTATTTATTGGACGTATTGCCATGAAAAGTCATGTTCCATGGATTTGCTATGGATTGGATAAAGTATCTGTATTCAAATGACGAAGCACTCTGGTGAACAGCATTGTATGTAATATATTTAATGGAATAACCTTCTGTTCAAAATTCTAAAAATTGCCAAAAGTTACCAAAAACACTTGAATATATTTCGGAGGCGTTCCTTCATCGGTTCAAGTGATAAACATTTATAGCGCCACATTTGCCGTTAACATATCTGATCCATGTTTTTTTAAATATAAATCTCGCGTCTAGGTTGAGATGTGTCTTCTAATTTACATCGACAGAATTACCTTTACAGCGTACGAACAAAATTAGCTCCTACACTTAACAGGTTAATAGGTCATAATGTTGATACTATTCACACTTACAATGTTAATAGGTTACAATATAGGGGGAGAGAAAGCGGGCAGGGATGAGGGGGGGGGGAGAATTCTAGGCAGGTCACATCAGTACTATGCCTACCAAAAGTAAACACCGCTGCCTGACAGGATAAATAAGTATGCAAACGAATGAATGACTTGAATGAATGCACGAATGAATGAAGTATGAAAGAGAGGGGCATAAACATATTACTGCTCACCTAACATAGGCCCGGGCAGCGCTTGTCGAACAGCACTGCGGATCCGAAGGTTGGGACTTTAATTGTGAAAAACCGCCCGCCCGCCGCCAAACGCAAAACCGCAAAACGCACGCCCAAAACGCAAACGCAAACTTCGCAAAAAAACAATGGCCCGCCCGCCAAAAACCGCAGAAAAAACGCAAAAAAAACGCCGCAAAAAACGCCCGTCCGCCGCAAAACGCAAACACCGCCTCCGCAAAAAACGCATCGCCCGCCGCCAACCGCGCAACGCCGCAAAAAAACGGACGCCCGCCGCAAACCGCAAATCCGCAAATAAAGGCCGGCCGCCGGCAACCGCAAAACGCCGCAAAAAACGGCCGCCCACCGCAAACCGCAAAACGCCGCAAAAAACGGCCGCCCGCCGCAAACCGCCGCAAAAAAACGGCCGCCCGCCGCAAACCGCAAAACGCCGCAAAAAACGGCCGCCCGCCGCAAACCGCCGCAAAAAAACGGCCGCCCGCCGCAAACCGCAAAACGCCGCAAAAAAACGGCCGCCCACCGCAAACCGCCGCTAAAACGGCCGCCCGCCGCCAAACGCAAACGCCGCAAAAACACCCGCATCGCCCTCCCGCCCGCCGCCAAACACAAAAACCGCAAAAAACGCAAACACCACCGCAAAAAAACGCCCGCAACGCACGCACGCCCGCC